CATTGGTGAGGGGCGTATTTTGGAGATGTTAGGAAGGTGAAAGCGGCATGGATTTTGGAACAGGATGTCCAACAAGCTTATATAGGTGTTGCCATACTTTTGGCCGTATAGTCTATTTACATGTCCTCATTTCCACCCCAAATCCTTTTATCGAGAGGTTTAGTCTTCTCTCTAGGACAGTGGGCGGCACCGCTCATCGTTTACACCACCGGGATCTACTGAGTGTCACATGATCACTTTAGATTTTTATGTACTGTTTCAAATAAACTTGTCAAACGGAAGATTTAAATGACCATTAGGGTTCTATTGGCCAATTATTTCAGAGATCCTTTCGATGAAACCAACTGGACTGAAAGGTCATCTGCATGAGAAGCGTGTATGTCAGGGACCAGGACACCTCCAGGTGGCACAGCGGAGCTGGAGCAGGTCCTACAGTTCCAGTGCTCACCTGCAGGTGTCTCTGGGCAGTCGGTGGCTGTCTGGGACATGAGCACCTCCAGGTGGCGCTGTGACGCTGGAACCAGGACCTGCAGCTCCAGGGCTCACCTGCAGGTGGCTCTGCAATTAATCCCCACCTGGTGTTACCTGGGAGGGCATTTAATCCCTCCCTGAACTGGGGATTTTGCCTCAGTATTGTCGCCAATTCCTGTGTCCTGTTTCCTATGACCTGATTCCTGTATCCTGGTGCCCCCTTGTACCCTGACCATTACTCCGTGGCTCCCCTTGTGTTGCCTCGCTCCCCAGGTTTCACTTACCCTGCTGTATGTGTTTGCATTTGCATTTTATTACTTGCTTGTGGTTACTTTATTTTGGTGTGTCTAATAAACTCTACATTTATAAGCTCATAGGCATTGTCTGGGGTGGTCACGCATTTGGTCCTCCTGTGTGGGTACCTGCATGCGGTGTGGGGACACCCGCGCACGGTACCTTGACAGTGCCCAACCTTGCGTTACCCGGGCTCCGGCCTCCCTTACCTGCTGGTTGAGTTCTGTTATCTGTAGGTCCAGGTCATTGGCACCGTTCCGGGTGATGGGCGGGAGTTTCCGCACAGGGTGGGAGGTGTTTTGCAGTCGTGGCGGGGGCTGCATCATCTTGGGGCCCGTAGGGGATGTCTTCTGGGGGACTGTGGAAGGAAGCGAGAGGGAACAAGATATAGAAGTGTACCGAATAACCGAGCGCCCCCCATGTGTCTGGTCAGCCACTTCCCCTCGTAATGCCAATCGTGTCACCAATATAGTTCCTGGATCTGGACTACGACTGGCTTGGAATTCTAAGCCTTTCCCACAATTATATATTATATGGGATAAAAAAATTATTGTTTGATGTCTTTCTAAATAAAAATCCAAGGGTTAGGGTTAACCCTAACCCTAAGGTTCTTGTTGGGCAGGTATAAACAATAAACATACCTGCGCTCAGGGCTCTTAGCATGGGATTAATGAACAAGCAACACCTGTCTCCCTGACTCTACATGACTCTATAGAAGGGAAATACTTCCAGTCCTTGCATAAAGGAGCGTAGTACAACGGGGGAAATTCTTTGCGTTTGGCGCAGCTTAATGCGACATGGATTTGTGCGTTGAACCAAGTGAATTTCCATAACACCCCGCAATTTTCACTCGCCAATTGCGAGGGGGCGAGTGGAAATTTTGAGGCCTGCCTTAAACAATCAATGTGAATAATAATTAATATAATGTAAGGAGTCAGATCAATATAAACATACCTGTTGTGCCGATCGGCTTCTTGGGCCTGTTGAAGACCTGGTCTCCTGGGTTGGGTTGGGGCGCCAGGTCCTGCCCTTGCCGGGCCAGCAGCGGGTCGTACTCCTTCCCGTCATAATTTGCATCAAATAATTTCTTAAACCATTGGATGAATTCAAAGTTGTCCTGGAACTTTCCTTTCACTAGCCGCTCCACTGGAATAATCTGCAGAGGGGAAAAGGGTCCAGAAAGTACGTGAATGTCCAGGTTTTCTTTTATGTTATTTTTTACTTTATCACTTTTATTTTTAAAAAGTTTGTTTTATTTTTTACTTTTTTTTCCCCCCACTTCATTTTATTCCTATTACATAGGGGCTTAAAATCCCTTATGTGATAGTTTGGAGGTGGCAGGTTCTCTATTTAAAGGAGAACTATGAGGGGTGATTTTCACTCAGCCTCATAATCTGAGCCGACCTGTGACAATGAGACTGTCACAGGTCGGCTCAGTAGATCGGGAGGTGAGCGAACACATACCGGCGCCCGCTCACTCCTCGATCCTGTGGCGGCAGAGAACCGTGACAGGGGAGGGGCTGGATTCCCCCCTCCCCGCTCCGATCCGCCAGCGCTGACTGGCGGAACGGACGGGGGAGGGGGCGGGTACAGCTGGCTCTGCCTCTAGATAGGCGGAGCCAGCTGTCACTCACACAGCTGGGTGGATCCAGACATAGTTGTCGGGATCCGCTTCAGCTGCAGCGTCTCAGTATACCGCGAGCTGTAGCTCCCTATATACTGAGCTTAGGGTGACGGGAGGACGCTAGTTTGTGTCCTCCCGTTACCCTTAGGAGAACTATGGGGAAAACACCTTTAAGGAACCTCCCCTCCAACACAGAACAGATGTTCTGTGTAGTTCCTGACAGCTGAGACAGGGGGCGCTGTGATTACACAGAGCAGATGAAGAAGGGACGTTCTTCGTCTGCTGTACGGGCTCTATGGTGAGCTCATGTGCCGTGGTCTCGGGTCCCCCAGAGGAGCAGGGGACCCCGAAAACCACTGTGGGGGGCCCCAGACACGATCGCCGCTGCTTGATTGATACAAGTGATCTAATCCTTGTCCGCAGCCGGGCTAAATGTACAGAAAAACTACTGGCCCGGCACACGAAACTGCCTGTCCCGGGCGATAGGAATTCCACACCCCTGATGATGGAGTATTACCAGAACCTTCACTGGAGACACCTGAACTCCATCATCTGGAGGGGGGGTCCATGTATTTTTGGTCATATAGTGTATTTGTCCATGACATATGGAGGGCGGACCAGAAGGGCAACTCAGACCCCAGGTCATCTTAGGACAGGAAAGGGTCTTCACCAAATTTGACCACAAGGTTGGAAGAGCCCAATTGTCTACAATACTGGAGACACCAGAACATCATTTGAAGGCATGTCTACATATGTTTGGCCATATAGTAGGTGTGAAGGTCAGGTGTCCACAAAGAAATCACACATCACCCATATACCAATACTAATGGTGGATAGACGGGTGACGTGACCGCATTCCGGGAGTGTGTCCTTTGTGGTATGTTACACGGTGCTCTAACATCACGGAGATTGACATCACATCTTTGTGTAGACTGCTGCCAGCTCTCTAACTATAACGGATCTTCTGAAAGCATTGTCACATGAGTTCAGAACCATGACTGACCCTCGGACCCCTGCAATGTAGGTGAATGGTCCACCACACGCAAAGTCACTGGACGCAACAGACTTACTTTGTCCACGGACATCTTCTTGAAGGCGGCCTGTAAGACTTTGAAGTTGTGGATGTATTCATGCTCCAGCTTGGCGTGGAATTTCACTCTCTTCAGTAAGATACAACCAGGGAAGAGCATGTCCATGAACTGACAGTATGCAGCGCCTGAAGAGAGACAACAGCTGCTCCGGTACAATGTCTTTACATGAATACTCCACTCCAAGCACTGAGAGTTCTAGAAGGATCTCCTATAACCCACTGCATCCCAGCACTGAGAGTTCTAGAAGGATCTCCTATAACCCACTCCGACCCAGCACCGAGAGTTCTAGAAGGATCTCCTATAACCCACTCCGTCCCAACACTGAGAGTTCTAGAAGGATCTCCTATAACCCACTCCGTCCCAGCACTGAGAGTTCTAGAAGGATCTCCTATAACCCACTCCGTCCCAGCACTGAGAGTTCTAGAAGGATCTCCTATAACCCACTCCGTCCCAGCACTGAGAGTTCTAGAAGGATCTCCTATAACCCACTCCGTCCCAGCACTGAGAGTTCTAGAAGGATCTCCTATAACCCACTCCGTCCCAGCACTGAGAGTTCTAGAAGGATCTCCTATAACCCACTCCGTCCCAGCACTGAGAGTTCTAGAAGGATCTCCTATAACCCACTCCGTCCCAGCACTGAGAGTTCTAGAAGGATCTCCTATAACCCACTCCGTCCCAGCACTGAGAGTTCTAGAAGGATCTCCTATAACCCACTCCGTCCCAGCACTGAGAGTTCTAGAAGGATCTCCTATAACCCACTCCGTCCCAGCACTGAGAGTTCTAGAAGGATCTCCTATAACCCACTCCGTCCCAGCACTGAGAGTTCTAGAAGGATCTCCTATAACCCACTCCGTCCCAGCACTGAGAGTTCTAGAAGGATCTCCTATAACCCACTCCGTCCCAGCACTGAGAGTTCTAGAAGGATCTCCTATAACCCACTCCGTCCCAGCACTGAGAGTTCTAGAAGGATCTCCTATAACCCACTCCGTCCCAGCACTGAGAGTTCTAGAAGGATCTCCTATAACCCACTCCGTCCCAGCACTGAGAGTTCTAGAAGGATCTCCTATAACCCACTCCGTCCCAGCACTGAGAGTTCTAGAAGGATCTCCTATAACCCACTCCGTCCCAGCACTGAGAGTTCTAGAAGGATCTCCTATAACCCACTCCGTCCCAGCACTGAGAGTTCTAGAAGGATCTCCTATAACCCACTCCGTCCCAGCACTGAGAGTTCTAGAAGGATCTCCTATAACCCACTCCGTCCCAGCACTGAGAGTTCTAGAAGGATCTCCTATAACCCACTCCGTCCCAGCACTGAGAGTTCTAGAAGGATCTCCTATAACCCACTCCGTCCCAGCACTGAGAGTTCTAGAAGGATCTCCTATAACCCACTCCGTCCCAGCACTGAGAGTTCTAGAAGGATCTCCTATAACCCACTCCGTCCCAGCACTGAGAGTTCTAGAAGGATCTCCTATAACCCACTCCGTCCCAGCACTGAGAGTTCTAGAAGGATCTCCTATAACCCACTCCGTCCCAGCACTGAGAGTTCTAGAAGGATCTCCTATAACCCACTCCGTCCCAGCACTGAGAGTTCTAGAAGGATCTCCTATAACCCACTCCGTCCCAGCACTGAGAGTTCTAGAAGGATCTCCTATAACCCACTCCGTCCCAGCACTGAGAGTTCTAGAAGGATCTCCTATAACCCACTCCGTCCCAGCACTGAGAGTTCTAGAAGGATCTCCTATAACCCACTCCGTCCCAGCACTGAGAGTTCTAGAAGGATCTCCTATAACCCACTCCGTCCCAGCACTGAGAGTTCTAGAAGGATCTCCTATAACCCACTCCGTCCCAGCACTGAGAGTTCTAGAAGGATCTCCTATAACCCACTCCGTCCCAGCACTGAGAGTTCTAGAAGGATCTCCTATAACCCACTCCGTCCCAGCACTGAGAGTTCTAGAAGGATCTCCTATAACCCACTCCGTCCCAGCACTGAGAGTTCTAGAAGGATCTCCTATAACCCACTCCGTCCCAGCACTGAGAGTTCTAGAAGGATCTCCTATAACCCACTCCGTCCCAGCACTGAGAGTTCTAGAAGGATCTCCTATAACCCACTCCGTCCCAGCACTGAGAGTTCTAGAAGGATCTCCTATAACCCACTCCGTCCCAGCACTGAGAGTTCTAGAAGGATCTCCTATAACCCACTCCGTCCCAGCACTGAGAGTTCTAGAAGGATCTCCTATAACCCACTCCGTCCCAGCACTGAGAGTTCTAGAAGGATCTCCTATAACCCACTCCGTCCCAGCACTGAGAGTTCTAGAAGGATCTCCTATAACCCACTCCGTCCCAGCACTGAGAGTTCTAGAAGGATCTCCTATAACCCACTCCGTCCAAGCACTGACCAGAGGTCCTTTCTACCTCATTATTAGTTCCCCTCACGTGTCTCCTCCTCTATTAGGCCTGTCCAGCCAGGAATTAGTTGCCCCTTCCACTTTATTAGAGCCACGAATGATAGGACCTTGTGGCGGGCTGATCGGTGGAAACCAGACGTCCGCTTTCATTATGAAGTGACACCGGGAAATAATTTCCTGCTGCCGTGGTCATTCCACCCACAGGTGGAGCCGGGAGGACTATGTCAGCCTCTGGCTTCTTCTATGTCACGGATACTCCAACAGTGAGACCTCCGTGCCGTAGTTCCGGACTCTCCAACTGGGAGATCTGGCCGTCCCTGGCCCGCATTGTGTGTTCCACCCCCCCACTGTTACGTTATCCATAATATAAAATACATACAAATGCTGCAAGGATGGTGGTCATCAGACTACAAATCACCAGGTGCCCCTACCAAGATGGCCACCCACAGACACAGTGCAGAGCACATTCCACAGAACTCATTACAAGATCTGACGCTTCACCTGGATCTCCCCAAGTAATATCTAAAGAGGACAACAGACATCCAACATTCCCAGACCCCAGGGTATAATACCTCTTCTATTACAGAGAACAGAGGGGAGGAGACACGGGACACAGGAGAGGGGGGTATAATACCTCTTCTATTACAGAGAACAGAGGGGAGGAGGAGACACAGGACACCGGAGAGGGGGGTATAATACCTCTTCTATTACAGAGAACAGAGGGGAGGAGGAGACACAGGACACTGGAGAGGGGGGTATAATACCTCTTCTATTACAGAGAACAGAGGGGAGGAGGAGACACGGGACACTGGAGAGGGGGGTATAATACCTCTTCTATTACAGAGAACAGAGGGGAGGAGGAGACACGGGACACTGGAGAGGGGGGTATAATACCTCTTCTATTACAGAGAACAGAGGGAAGGAGGAGACACGGGACACCGGAGAGGGGGGTATAATACCTCTTCTATTACAGAGAACAGAGGGGAGGAGGAGACACGGGACACTGGAGAGGGGGGTATAATACCTCTTCTATTACAGAGAACAGAGGGGAGGAGGAGACACGGGACACCGGAGAGGGGGGTATAATACCTCTTCTATTACAGGGAATGGAGGGGAGGAGGAGACACGAGACACCGGAGAGGGGGGTATAATACCTCTTCTATTACAGAGAACAGAGGGGAGGAGGAGACACGGGACACCGGAGAGGGGGGTATAATACCTCTTCTATTACAGAGAACAGAGGGGAGGAGGAGACACGGGACACCGGAGAGGGGGGTATAATACCTCTTCTATTACAGAGAACAGAGGGGAGGAGGAGACACGGGACACCGGAGAGGGGGGTATAATACCTCTTCTATTACAGAGAACAGAGGGGAGGAGGAGACACGGGACACCGGAGAGGGGGGTATAATACCTCTTCTATTACAGAGAACAGAGGGGAGGAGGAGACACGGGACACCGGAGAGGGGGGTATAATACCTCTTCTATTACAGAGAACAGAGGGGAGGAGGAGACACGGGACACCGGAGAGGGGGGTATAATACCTCTTCTATTACAGGGAACAGAGGGGAGGAGGAGACACGGGACACCGGAGAGGGGGGTATAATACCTCTTCTATTACAGGGAACGGAGGGGAGGAGGAGACACGGGACACCGGAGAGGGGGGTATAATACCTCTTCTATTACAGAGAACAGAGGGGAGGAGGAGACACGGGACACCGGAGAGGGGGGTATAATACCTCTTCTATTACAGAGAACAGAGGGGAGGAGGAGACACGGGACACCGGAGAGGGGGGTATAATACCTCTTCTATTACAGAGAACAGAGGGGAGGAAGAGACACGGGACGGAGGAGCGGGGGTATAATACCTCTTCTATTACAGAGAACAGAGGGGAGGAAGAGACACGGGACGGAGGAGAGGGGGGTACCTGAGCACAGTTGCTCTATCTTGGTGTAGTTGAGCTGTATACAGTCGTTGACCCAGGCCAGCATGTCATGACGACTCAGGTTTTCGATGGTCACAGAGGTGGAATAAACATTGACCGCCATCCCCCAGCTGAAAGAGAAAAGTGATGTCATCGGGGTGATACGGAACATCAATCTGTGACATCACGCGTTACAATACAATTCTCATTACACAGTATGAACGTTAATCTGCATACATTTTGCCCCCCCCCCCCCATAGTGGACACGTACAGGTCTCCATGTTCTACTACATACGTAGTGGACACGTACAGGTCTCAATGTCCTCCTCGCTCTGGTGGTGTCCCGTCATGTGGCCCCCCACCCGCACATGGAGTGATGTCTGGGTCCCGTTGTTTGTTCGGGGCCATGATTGGTTCCCCGATTCCTCTGTTATAGTCACACAACATTGTATATGGGATGTTATTCCTCGTGTTCCTCTGAAGATCAATCCCACCGCGCTCCGTGCCGGAACCCCCTTGGATGGGTGATGACCGTGGATGGCACCACCATCAATGTGACGACAGGGGACCCGGTCCTCCTGATCAGCGTGTCCGGGGTGCTGGGGACCTTCTGTCTCCTCGTTCTCTCCTTGGTGAAACGCGTCATTTGGAGCAAGGGTCCACCTCAACCGTCCCGGACAAATACCAACACCGGATGTTTCCGAGGACTTTGTATAACGTGTCACATGGTTGTCAGGACTCCATGGAGGAGACGTTCCTTGGGAAGCTCCGCCCTGGATTGGAGGTGTCTGTCTGGATACTAACTCATCGATCTTTGTTTTAGGCCACACCCCCTACGGTGAGCGGGATAGTCCATTCGTATCTGGGAGGAGGGGGATGTGACCCCCACAAATACAAATGGTTGCCCCACTTCTGGTCTTCAGCTTTGTGAATGAGCCCCAACATGGCCGACGTCTCGTATTTGAGGATCCCGAGCTCCGCCCAGCTGTTCCTTCATGAAATATTTGTATACGATGTTCTCGGAGATCGGCACGCGTACTGCCAGCTGATCGGCAACACCCGCAGCATACTGTTCCGGAGACACCACCGAGAGATCCATCAACCCAATCCACCCAAAAGTGGCCTTTCATTCACCAGGGTGGACGATGCCGAGCCGACTCACCGCCCAATTCCACCACCAGAGGTGAGACCGCAATCATAAGATATGATCATTGAAGTCTCACTCCTCTCGCCGAAACCTAACAGACTGAGTTCACCCAACCACCACAATGGTAAGTGGGTGGAGCTGGGAACTTAAAGTGTAACTCCACCTTCATGGTCAATATGCTGGTTGAGTATACAGGTCACAGAGCTGGACGATGGCGGAGTGATGGGCTGGCGCCGTATTGGTTAACCGGCATGAACAT